TGAGACAAGCTAACATAAAAAGATGCACTGTCCGGCTGAGTTACCCTTATCTTACATGCTGCAGATGGTGTTGGAAATGCCAAGGCTCGCTGAGTTTTGTTATTTTCTAATTATGGGAACCAGCTGGTCTGTTTAGGCCCGTCCTTGAATCCAGTGTCTAGTTATAAGTTTTAAAATTGCCTTTACAGCTCTGAACTGCAAACGAGGCAGCTGAGTTCCCTTTCATATGTGACTGACTCAGCCCTTCCCTCCTAGGAGCAAGGAAATCACCCGAATGAGAGGACAGGTGCACGGTGGACCCTACTGCTCGCCCACAGTGTAAACTGGCACAACTGTGTCAAGGTCTTGAAGTTTCAGTTTCCTTTTTTTGTAAAAGGCAACTGCTAGTGTTAATTATTCATTTGCCCCATTTATATTCCCACCTATGTTTTCAAATAGTTATAGAAAGGAGAAAAAAGGCAAAAGAAAAGAGACCAAAATTTGAATTATTCTTTTATTTTTAAAGATACAGGCTTCTGGGGCTGGGAATTTAGCTCAGAGGCACAGCACCTGCCTGGCAAGTGCAAGGTCATGAGTTTGATTCCCGGTACTGGAAAAAAAAAAAAAAGATATAGATTTCTTTCTCCATAGTGGACGGGAAGCTGCATTTTTGCTATTAAATGTGGTTGTAAGCTACTAAAGATGAGAGAAACTACACTGCAAATTTACTTTCTACTGACATGCTACTAATCATGCTACTAATCAGCACCTGCTAGGTGTGCTGTTCCCCGCCAGGCACCCACTGTGATGAAGAAGTAGAGGTCAACAATTAGTTGAATTTGAGAGACAGAAATGGATACAGAAGGATGTGAGGGTGATCTGGCTGAGACATCTGTCACCCCATTGATCACCAGGGTTGATTCAGCTGATCTGGCTAGCTAGACGGGTGTCCCCGTCCTCCCTCAATGCTCCAGGTGCTTCCTTCCTGAAGCTGAGCGCTTAGTCAAAGAGGGCAACCACCTTCGACAGAGGAGGACTGTTCCTCCATCGAGGATATATGAGTAGCTGCACTCCCCTGCTAGAACCTCCAAACAAGCTTTCAAGAAATGGATACAGAAAATGCCATGAGTAGATTTCAGCAAGCCTCACTGTTGTTGATGAACTTAAGGACAGCTAACAAGCCTGCTGTCTCACAGAACATCTTAGGAAAAAATAAGACCTTGAGGCTGTCCCTTCTTTTGTCGGAGGAAATAGTCTGAGAAAATCCTGAGAAATACTTTTAGTGTTATTTAAAGTTTTGAGACAGCCATCATAAGGAGGAAGGCAGAAGGATGAAGACATGCCATGATAAACATATCATGATAAAACTCTGTAAAACCTAAAGATAGGAAAGAATTCTTGGCACACAGAAAGTACAGTAGAAATAGTTACATGTTCTTATTAGTCCTGCTTAAGCATGAGGATTTGAAATGAGACAAGTGGAAAAATTCACCTCAGTTCACACAACCAGTTAGGATCAGAACTGAGCCAAGAGTATAAATCTTGGGCTGGAGATATAGCTCAGTGGCACAAGAGCCTGCCTGGCAAGTGCAAGTTCCTGAGTTCGATTCCAGGTGCCAAAAGAATAAAAAATAAAAAAGTATAAACTTCTTAGTTACAAACTGAAAGGTTTTTTATTTTAGTAATCTATTACAATAATTTAATAAGATCTCATGACCTGGGCAACAGAACCGCTAATGAAGCAAGAAGCTGAGTGAGGGACCTCATACTTTCCCTTCAAGCTCAGAGTGAGTTAATGCATTAACATTGTCCTGTGAACTGGATGCCTGGGTTACCGAACTGGGCTCCGTGGGATGTAGACCAGGGCTAGCCAGAGCTCTATGGAAAGTGGTTGATTCTGGCCACTCAGTCATGAAAACTACAGAAATGGGAATAGGTGACAACTGAAGCTGTTTTATTTTGTGTTTGACCCCCCCCCCCCCGTGCCTCAAATGTCATCTCAGCATGAATTGGGGCTTTGCTTTAAACTCTGTCCACTTAAAGTTTTATCTTAACTTGGGTGAGGTTTCCACTGAATAATCATAAGCTTTAGTCACGTCAAATTCAACTAATAAACCAGATATTTGAAATGATAGATAACTTCACTTGGATCAGAAATAACTGCAGAATAAAAGACCACAGAGAGCTGTATTTATTTTTGTAGGAGAATGGGAAGAACATATGAAGATGTAAAGTTTCATAGAAAATAATGTCCGTTTCCTACTTGGACTTTTAGTATAGCTGTGCAAAATGTCACTAAAATACAAAATTTGTTTCAAAGCCTCCATTGTATATCTTTAAAGTTTGAATTGTACTTATCAATATTTGTAGGCTGATATCAATAAATATGTTTACTTTCCCAAACAATGTTTTAGTGGGTTAATAGTAGAGACAGGAGCAAAGTTTATTACAGGAAGGTATATCATATATTCCCTCAGTCAAAAAATATTTACTAAACAAGTGATATATCAACGAACCACAGAATAAAATCTCCTACCTCACACATTACAGCCTGTGAGAGGAGACAGACAAAAAAATACAAGTGTGTAAGCAGAATATTAGGTGTGATACATGTTCTGAAAAAAATGGAGAGCTATTGAGGAGTGTGCTTAATGAAAGTCAAGTGGAGGGGCACAGAAGTTTTATAAAACAGGCAAAGCAGGAAGCAGAAAGAGAGAAAGCCATGCCGTATAAAGAAGGAAGAAAGGCCCGAATCCACGGAGATGGCCAAAGACTGAGACGCAGAAGTTTCCTGTACTCAATGAAAGGAAAGGAATTCGGTGCACCTGAAGGAGAAGGGGTGAGAAAGCAGCAGTTACCAAGGTGACAGTGACGCAAATTCCATCTATCACCACTTCAGGAGCAGCCATGTTTTTATATTACTTACACGTTAACACAACGATATTCCTGGATGATTTCATTCTTTAGTTAGATAGCAGTTCTTTGCTCTCTTCTTTGAAATATCTGAGGAATTTTTAAATTCCCAATTTTTATTTTTATTATTTCATTTCTGAAAGTTCTTTTTTTTTTTTTTTTTTTTTTTGGTTTTTCTCTGGTACCGGGAACCGAACTCACGACCTTGCGCTTGCCAGGCAGGCGCTTTGCCGCTGAGCT